CCTCGCTGCTGATGCTGAACTAAAATCCCTCACGATGTTAACTAAAATGTCTGTATCTTTTGGTCTCTAATAAAAACAATGATATCATCCGCATATGCTGATAAAACCATGCCTCCACCAAAACCAGGTAAAACAGCCCTTGCAGTTTGGAGCGTATTTTGTTGAGGAGGTGTTCTAGGGAGAGTTGCATAGAGCATGCCAGACAGAGCACAGCCCTGCGGACCCCTCTACACACTCTAAAAGGAGCACACAGCCCACCGTTGACACTTTCAGCACCACTCTCAATCTTATTGTACAACACCTTGATCTTGGCTATGAAACCAGCGCTTGAACCCAAACTTCTCCATTACTTTCCAGAGGAAGTTGTGCTCAACGCGGTCGAAAGCCTTTTCCTGATCTAGAGAGATCAGACCAGTATTAATGCCCCAATGAGCTGGAGACCTCCAAAACATCTCGAATTAGGTGGACATTGTCCACCATGGACCTGCCGGGCACACATTAGGTCTGGTCCCGGTTGGATGACCTGCTCCACAGCCCTCCCCAGCCTGGTGGCCAAAGCCTTGGACAGAAGTTTGTAATCCACACACAGCAGAGGACACAGGGCCGCCAGTTTTTGATGTCCTGCAGGTTTTCCTTTTTTTGGTAGCAGCGTGATCACCGCTCTCCTGCAGGACATCGGCATCGAGCCAGAGGCCAGACTTTCATTAAAAACGTCTAAAAAGGTCATGTGACAAGACGTCCCAGTAGGCTTTATAAAACTCTACGGAGAGGCCATCGATACCAGGAGCCCGCCGTCCCTGCATGCCTTGCAGGGCGGTCTGCAGCTCCTGGATCGTTAACGGCCCTTCGAGCTGTGAGTTGGTCTCCTCGGAGACCCTGAGGTAGTTCGTTGCAGAACCCCTCGGACAGAGTTTCCCCCTCCTCATACTCTCGCTTGTGTATAGGGTGGAATAAAAGCTCACAGCTCGCCTCCTGATCTGGCTTGGCTCTGTTATTTCCTGCCCTGTGTCTGACAGCAGTGAGTGGATCACTCGCCTCTGCCCATTATTTTTCTCCAGGCCGAAGAAGAAGCTAGTGGGAGCATCCATCTCATTAGTGTTGAGGAACCGGGACCTGACTAGTGCACCCTGAACTTTAACGTCCAGCAGGTTGGCTAAAGCCATTTTTTTCTCTTTGAGGATTTGAATATATCCTCGATCTCCCTGTGGTCTCACTTATTGTTTCTAGTTCCACTATATCACTCTCCAGGTCTTTATAGATCTAATAATGTCTTGTGTGACATTGAGGGTGTGCTGTTGGCAGAGCAATCTTATCTCAGTCTTACCATGGTCCCACCACTGCCTAAAACTGCTAAAATCTCCCTTCCTCTGCCTAAAAAACACTCCAGAAATAAATAAGGGCCTCTTTAAAATGTTTATCAAATGTTAAAACCGAGTTAAAATGCCAATATGCACTTCTGGGTAAAACATTTCTAATAAAAACATTACATAAAAGCAAAGAGTGATCCGTAAAACCAGCAGGTGATATGCTGCACATTTTAAAAGTATTAAAATGATGCTTGAAACAATAAAAACGATCTAGTCTAGCTGATGAGATTCTATTCTCTCTGATGTGGGACCAGGTGTACTGCCTGTTGTCTGCGTGCATCCTCCTCCATACATCCACCAGGCCGTGGGAGTGGACCAGCTGCCTCAGAGCATGCTGGGATGCTGGATGCGGCTCTGCATGGTTGCGATCTAAAGATGCATTTTCTGTACAATTAAAATCCCCACCCAAGAATAAAAAATCCTCCGTGGCACAACCGTTTAAAACATCATTAACTTTGAGTAAAAACAGCTTCCTCTGTACCGTTTGTTGGAGCATACACATTTATAAAAACAGCTGTAAAAAGGTCAAACCGTGCTTTTATTAAAAGCAACCTCCCATTGATAAAGTGCTCGACCTCCAGTGAGACAGGATTAAAAGACTTGGAGAGGAGGAAGCCCCCCCCCCCCCCCCCACTGAGAGAGGTGTTGTGGCTTTAAAATGACTTCCCCCTCCCACTCCTTTCTCCAGTCCGTCTCATTAAAAACGTCGCTGTGCGTCTCTTGTAAAAAGAGGACATCGATATGTTTTATTTTGCAGTCTGAAATATTAAAGCCCTCTTTCTTTCCTCTCTGGCTCCATTTACATTTAAACTTCCCACTCTAAAAGTATCCATTTCAAGTGAGATGTTAAAAGCAAAAATAAAAACAAATAAATTAAACACAGACATTGAGGTTTTTAAAATCAACGCTGCCCATTTGTTTCCTTACTTTAGTAACAATTCTTTGTAGTCTGTATATTTCCAGCTCATCCAGGACAGACTGCTCTTTGCGGTTCATGTGGAATCTTGCTGAGGCACAAAAAACGGACAAATCTGGGAAATATTCTTCTATTATAACGTTATGTTGGTTTTTTGTCTGCACCAGGTAATTTTTTATCATTTCAGCCGAGTACATTTTTTTTTGTTGGCTACTGCTAAAAAAACCTGGCGCTGTCAGACACACAATCATCCCAACTCTCATCCGCCTGTTCTTGCTCTCTTTCTTCCTTTCCCTCACTCACTACTTTACTGTTTTTTTGCAACGGTTGATACATCCTTTTTATTTCTCTTGCGTTTAGTAGCAGTCTTTTTTTTATTTATCATTTCTGTTGCGACCTCTTCTTCCTCCATATCAGCAACCTCCATCTGCTCGCCCCATGTTTTCTTCTCCTCTCTTGTATTGTCCAAATGTGTTTCCCATATCTATATCCTCCTCTTGTGTTTTACTGACTTCACCTGTCCCTACATTTCCTTTTACCAAATCACCTTGTGGTTCATTGATTATTCCAGGTTTTTTTCCACCATTTGTATTTGTTTTTTTCTCTTTTTTTTCTCCCATCCCCCTTTTCTTCTGCTTCACACAAAACCACCACCTCATTTTCCTGGACATAATCACCCACACCCTGTGCAACACCACCGCACCGCAAGTCGGGCACAGCAGCAGAACCGCGCTGTACAGCGCGCCCTCGCCCGCTCCGCGTCCGAGACGGCACATCGCGCGCCACCGCCGACTGCTCACGACTGCCACCCTGCTGCCTCCATTACAACCGGCGCACCGGCCGCCGGCGCGACAGTCCGCCTCGGCGCAGCCACGGGCGGCCTCAGCGCAACAGACAAGCCCGGCACAGCCGGGGGTCCCGGCGTGGCCTGCGGGTGGCCCCCGGCGCAGCGGGTGGACGACCCAGCCTGCGGGTCATCCGGACCAGGCGGAGCCGGATCCCTTGCCTCGGACAGGCATTCATGGTGTGCCCCTCCTCCCCGTAACCAAAACACTTCATAACTGATGATGTTGCAAAAATCACATAGTCATAATCATCTACTTTAACGTAAAAACGGAGGTTAAGCTCCGCATTCCGATTGTTCAGTATCATATACACTTGTCTGCGGTGAGGACACTACGTGTTTCAGTAACTGAGACTTACATCCAGACAGCATCTTTTTTACGGGAGAAACAAGTTTCCCGTGTCTGGACAGTTCTCTACTGAGGAACTCATCAGTTATGAAGGGAGGGACATTAGACAGTACAACTTTGGTTGCGGGAAGCATCAGCGGCTGTACTTGTACAAACATTTCTCTCACCACGATGCCCGTCTCGATGACGCGGTTCACCTTCTCCACCTGATCCAGAAAGATCACCACCGCGCTGTTCATCCGCGTCAGGGACTTAATGCTGCCGTGCCCGACCTTCTCTCCCACAGCCAGCCCGACCTTCTCTCCCACAGCCAGCCCGATCTCCTCCACAGTGCATGGGAAGCCGGCTGATATTTTAATGCCGTGCTTCCTCGTGAGTTTGGCAAACTCTCCATTTACCATGGCGTCAGACGCCGGCCGGCGAGACAACCGGCAGGAGAAGCCCACAAAACACCCCAAAAACACCACCAAAAAGCCCGAAAAGTAAAGCAAATCAAACCACCACCGATAAACTATATTAAATGAACACCCCATTACACCAAAATAAACGGAAAATATAACGAAAAAGTCTCGCTCTTCTCTTTCTGTCGCACCTCAAAATCTCCCAGCATGCACAGAAGAAGAAGAAGAAGAAGAAGAAGAAGAAGAAGAAGAATTGGGAGGGATGAAACCCTCTTTAATGGTCACACATGCAGAGCACACAGTGAAATGTGTTCTCTGCTTTTAACCCATCCTAGTACCAGGAGTCTAGTACTAGGAGCAGTGGGCAGCTATTGTACAGCGCCCGGGGAGCAATGGGAGTGAGGGGGGAAGGGGGATGTCCGGTGCCTTGCTCAAGGGCACCACGGCAGGGCAGGAGGTGAACTGGGACCTCTCCAAGTAGAAGTCCACACTCCAAATGTAGGTCTGGTCGGGGACTTGAACCGGCGACCCTACGGCTCACAGTCCAAGCCCCTACTGACTGCCATAGATTTAGTCCCTAATTTTGCTCTCAAAACGGACCAGATTGATGCATTTAACTTCAACATTTAAAAAAAAATCTTCCCGGGGGAGCATGCCCCCGGACCCCCCTAGAGGAGGTGAGGTCCACCACCTGCCCACACCCCCTCTTAAATTGTCTCACCCACATTGAGGATGCTTCCTACGCCCATGTTTTATTCCATGTGTCAAGTCAGGCAAATTGGGTCCAAATGTTATTGCATCAATGATCTGTTAACATTAAAATCACTAAATATATGCTGTAACTATTTTGCTCTAGGCAACTCAAGGGCTCAGGTAATGTGATTACTATATGAATAATTGTCCAAAATAACATAAAATGCATAGGGTTTTTTGTTAAGTAACATACTTTCGTCGCCGGCCGGCCGATTCATGCCGCGCATTAAGTGGGCTTGTCTGTCAATTAATCCCGCGCCACTTTTTCCCCCTAGTCCGCCCCTGCACTACATACTGATATACACCTGGAAATGAGCAGAATATGTCCTCTTTAACACTTTGTTTATACATGTGTCCCTCTCTCTACCAGATGTTTTGGTGTGATGAACCCAACCAGTAAGCCCTACTCATTCAAGTGGCGGTGTGAAGACAAAGGTGGCAGTCCGTTCTGCTGCCTCACCCCGAGTGGTACCGTCTTGCCTGGGAAGAAAGTGGAAGTAAGTATGGCAACACGCACAGTGAAATAGCCTTAGGGCCTGTGTCACCATAGCGTGTTTCTTTGGATAAGAGGCACTGGGCAGAGCCTCCAGAGCCCTTTTTATATTGTTTCTATGTCAACGATATCTAAACAGTGTTTCCCTACTAGCACAACTAGCATTACCTTCTTGGATTTTACTTTCTGTTTGTGCTATTATATATTGTTACCGATTGAAACATTATTTTTATGAACCAGCTTGTCAACGCTCTGACAGCAACAATCATTGACAGCAACATCCAGGGATCCTCTGGCCAATCTTTAAAAGAAATAGGATTGTTGGTCTTTGTTTTTGTCCAATATATCTTAGTTCCAGCGTTGTTGAAAGGGGGAGACAGAGCGGATGACATTGCTTAATAATTCAGCTGGTGGGAGTAGAACCCATGCACTTGGCAGCGACAACTGCTTCCACATACAGTATATGGGCCACAGATCTAACCGGCTTTATGGTGGCCCCTTTCAGTCTTTGCTATGAGAGTTTCCGTCTGTAAAAAATTGCCAAACACAGGCTTCTCCTCAAAGTCGTACTTAAACGTCACCAGTGGTTTTCTGAAAAAGGAATATCTTTACAAACTACAAACGCTCCGAGCGGCTGCTTAAAATCATTGATGCACTCAGAAAAAAATATGCTTAGGTGCAGCGCTTTTTCTCGATGGGAGCCACATTAAAAACAATGGCAAAAAGACGCTAGTGTTTACTAGTTGCTTCCTCCAACTACCATCTAATTAACCTTGGCCTATCCTTCATATTGGTACACATCAGTCATTCTTAATCTCTCCCCTCATCTTACATTTTCTATCCCCATCTAATTATCGTTTCAGTGTTCCTGTCTCACTTTATCAAAACAGAAGTCTAATCCTTTCTCATTTCTTCCATTTAATCTAATACCATTTTAATTGTTCCTCATCAATTGCCAGGTCTACTCATCTGATCCAATCTGTTCTAGTTGTTCATCACTCTGTGCTTCCTTCCTTCCTTCACTCTGCTTAATTCCTCTCAACATTTTGTCTTTCTTCTATATATTTATTTGTGAATTGTTTGCTATATGTAATCCTCTGATGTGTGTGTGCAGGTGTGTTTTCAATATGTAGCTGAGCAGATGGAGGCGGTGGAGTCATTCTGGAGTTTTGTGATTGAGACTCTGTCCCTGTGTGTCCCCTTCCTGTGTGTGGGCACCACTAAAGAACCACTCGTCTATCTCCACAGACCTCACCTCGACTTTGGAGAACTGCTTGTTGGTATGTGACATACACAGACACAGCCTCATGCATGCATTTATACAGTGACATCACAACAAGTCACACCACATATTAAAGTTCATGGAGTCATTTCCTAAGTACTTCTGTAACACGGTTAAAGGACATGCATTTTGGTGAATAAGTGCCTACATATTGTGTGTAATACGCATACAAACGCTGTATGTTTTCCATACGCTCAAGCATAATTATGGCAGTATGTTTAATAATATTTGTATATAGGTTATCATTAATATTTCATATTTACTTTGTCTCTAATATTAGTTGTTTATTTTGTAGTGTTCTAATTGTTCATTATTTGTTATGTTATATTTCCTCAGTTAATTGTTTATCTTTTCGTCCATTTTGTTTTGTTTTGTTAAGTTAACTTTTTTTATTTTAACTTTTTTTATTTTGCATTATATTTCTAACAAAGCTGTTATGTTGTAAATGAAAATGTAAGAAACATGAACGCTTATTTCCATTATAAAATCTCACCCCCTACTGCGTGTGAAAATGTGTCCCTGAAACCAACATTTTTGTAACCCTCAGTTGGCCCAAATTTAATTAAAACCATCCATAAAGCAGGTGAAATTGAATTGTTGCCAAATTACTCACTGTGTGTGTGTGTGTGTGTGTGTGGTGTGTGTGTGGTGTGTGTGTGTGTGTGGTGTGTGTGTGTGTGTGTGTGTGTGTGTGTGTGTGTGGGTGTGTGTGTGTGTGTGTGGTGTGTGTGTGTGTGTGTGTGTGTGTGTGTGTGTGTGTGTGTGTGTGTGTGTGTGTGCTCACAGGTCACAATGTGGAACTGACAGTGGGTCTGGTGAACGGAGAGGATGAGCTCTTCCACTTCTCTGCCCTGCAGTCGTCTCTCCTCTGTGAGGATCAGCAGTCCAGACTCAGTGTGCAGCCCATGAGGGGCACCGTGCCACCCAAACACAGGTACATTACACTATAACATGCTTAGAATACAATGAAATTCTATATATTCATAAAAAAATAATGAATATACAAATATATATACAAAAATAAATAGTTGTGTCATTTGATTAAAAAAATGTAATAGTATAAATCACAATAATACTCTGTGATTAATCATAATTAATCACTAGTTTTTAATACTTTTTATATTTTTTTGTATTTATATATCTTTTCATTTTTGGGTTTAAAAATGTGTATTCATCACTCACTTGTGCATGATGTGATAAGAATTTCAAATATTATAGCTTTGTGAGGAGGTCACATGTTGATTCACTACTAATTGAATGTGTGTTAACTGTTGTGACCTCTGTGGTTGCAGGTTGCCACTGTCAGTGTCCTTCACGCCATGCCGGGAGGGCCACGTGAGCTTCAGATTGGCTCTGAAGGTGAAGAGGAAGTCAGAGCCGCTCACACTCACAGTGAAGGCGGATTGTTTCATCATGAGCACTTCTGTTCAAGTGGTGCAGCCCGAAGGAGGACTCAGAGAGATCATCCCTAACCAAGAAGACACTCTGGACTTTGGAAAGGTCAGCAGACTTGTACACATCACAAGAGCGATCACATGTTTGAAGTTGACATATCAAGCAACTTCCTGTTTGTACGCTATTTGTCCTGTAGGTGGGGATTTCAGAGCAGTCCACCTTTAACTTCCTGGTATCCAATCTGGCAAGATTGAACCTGGACGTGAGCTTTGACCTTACAGGTCCCAGTGAGCTGTTGCAACATTTGCAAGTAAAGCCTCAACATGATGCTATAGAGGTTGGGAAGCAGCTGCAGTCTTCACTATTCTTTTGTCCGCGCAGCATTTGTAACCTCAGAGACGTCAGACTGAGTATCAGGGTGAGATGTTGATCCCCTGTCTTGTTTCTGTTTTTTACAGGGGTAGCATTATAATTATGCTCTGGGAAAATAATTAATAATCTGATCATAATCTGAAAACAATCAATGCTACTCTTTCCACTTGATGTTAGATGTGCTGTGAACATCTTAATGAGGGGACACTAGAGGGGCAATATTAAGTTATGTATATATAACACATGCATCTGCTTGGAGGTTTCATATTTATTTATATATTATTACAATATCCCAACTTTTTTTTCATGTTACTTGCACACTTGTGTCCCTTGCACCACTATTTGTATTTTTAAAAAAAAAATGTTTTAAGAATATTGTATTTTGCCTTGTATGAGGACTTTAAGATTGTCACTATAGCTATCGTGCATATGAAAATATGCCTTTCAATCTTTGTATCTTGAATCATCCCCTCCAACTTTAAAACAAAATGTACTGGCAAATGATGAGATTATACATGTATTGACTTTACTAGACTTGTAAGACAACAACTAACCCATAACATTATATAAATGATATGTAAAAGAGAGAAACTTTTGCTGAAATTATTTTCTATCTTGTTTCACCTCTACAGGTAAAGCATGGGCCAACGTTTACATTTTGCATCGAAGGCCGGTCTGTAGCACCGAGCCTTGAATTCTCCTTCACTAAGATCGACTTTGGCAAGTGCTTCCTGTACAGTGAGGGCCTGGTGCCGGCCTCACAAACGCTAGTGATCAGCAACAAAGGGGGAAAGGACATTAGGTAAAATATCTAACTGTTTTTCTACATGTCTGGTAAAGGTGTTAACTGCATAAAGGAATGTTCACAACCGAGTCTAATTTCCAAACCTGTGCTCTGCCTCCCTCTCCTCAGTGTCCAGTGTGTGTTCAGAAACACCTCTTACCTAGAGACGGACTTCCAAACAGCTGTTTTGTCCCCTGGTGCTGTGATAGAGGCACCAATCAACTTCTATCCTCGTGAGGCGTGCCGTTACCAAGAAACAATCACCTTCATCTTAAACAGCTGCATCGCCAAACACGTGGACGTACTGGCGCAAGGCGTGGAGAGGAAGGTGTGAAAGAAAGAAATGTGAATCATTTACAAATATATAAAGGTTAACGCCATGTTAACTGAGCAAGTGATTTTTTAAGACTTTAGTTAACATTTTGCTGTAGTGACATGTCAATCAATCAATCAATCAATCAATCAATCAATCAATGTTTATTTATATAGCCCAATATCACAAATGTTACATTTGTCTCAGTGGACTTCACAGTTTGTACAGAATATCAGTATGAGAATACGACACCCTCTGTCCTTAGACCCTCACATCGTACAAGGAAAAACTTCCGGAGAAAACCCACAGTTTAAAGGGAAAAATGAGAGAAACCTCAGGGAGAGCAACAGAGGAGGGATCCCTCTCCCAGGACGGACAGACAATAGATGCCGTGTGTAAATCGAAGAGATAATACATTTTACAGCGTAGGTAGACCAAATGTTTGGAAATGCATGTGTCTGTAATAAGAAGATGAATCCACGAGGATGTCAACAGTCCTGTGGAAGCCATCAGGGAAGTAGTATGATGAGAGTCAGGCAGGACCGCAGAGACAGGTTCAGCCACGACTCGAAGTCCAGGACTCAGATCCAGAACTCAGGATAGAGAATCCAGGACACAGGACCACAGCAACAGGATCAGCCACGACTCAGGATCAGCCAGGGCTCAGGATCCAGGACTCAGGACTCAAATCCAGAACTTAGGATAGAGGATCCAGGACACACGACCACAGCAACAGGATCAGCCAGGGCTCAGGATCAGCCAGGGCTCAGGATCAGCCAGGGCTCAGGATCAACCACGGCTCAGGATCAACCACGGCTCAGGATCAACCACGGCTCAGGATCCCGGTGTAGATAGACACCAAAAAGACATTTGGGGGAAGCTGGGTTATTCGGAACATGAGAGTACACAGGTACAGACAGACAGAAGGAAGAAGTAAGGTGTCCCCGACAGTCTAAGCCTATAGCAGCAAAACTATCGTGTCTACGTACATGCACTCCCTTAGGATAGGGTGAGGGAAAAGGGTAGCAAGTAAGAAGAAAGGAACATGACGACATGTCTTGTCGTGTACTGTATATATCTAATTAGATCTCACCAAAAGCCCTCTGAGGAAGGGACTAGAAAACGGATAATCTCTCAACTTGGCTTCAGCCATTGCAGCTGACACTTATTGATTTACCCAATATGTGAATATGTCCCACTAGTATTACAATCCACATTATCCTTACACAAAATACAGTCTGATGGCTGTTTGAATGTAAGTTAGCGCACTTACAAATCTGTGAGCTAACTATTATAATACTATACTAGAACCATAATACTTTATTCACCCCGGGGATTTGTTTCCCTTTTTCTGACAGTTGCTCTATTTAAGAATGAAATAAATAAAAGATAAATACAAAATAACTCAAATGAAAATATTTGTTTAAACATCAGAAAAAATATTATGATTGTGCAATAAAAACATACAATTAAATAAATATATTTATATGAAGATATAATGTAAAGTAACATGTGAAATAAAAGATGAAATAAACATATTTAAATAAACATAAGCAGTTAAACTAAAATGCCAAATAAAAGATTACAAAAATACGCTACAGAATATGTATACAGTTATTAAAAGTAAAGATTTGCATTTTGCACACCATCAATGGTAATTCACTAAAAGGCAGATAAAACGTGACAATATCATTCATTAAAACATTTGTTATCCTGTGTATGTATCATTCATCCCTAGCTGGAGGTGGAGCCCCCCAGGCAGAGGAAAGTGAAGCTGGGGTCTCTGATGTTGGGTCAGAAAGTGAAGAAACAAGTAGTGCTGGTCAACCGGAGCCTGTTAGACATTTCCTTCACTCTGATGCTTAACACAAACACACCACTGGACCTAAGGGTATGAAACACTTACAGCACAGATGCACACACACAGATAAAGTGTTTATAGAGTATTACAGAATCAACACTTGTCACTTCCCTCTCCTCTCCTCCAGGACCTGTCCTTCAGTCCAGCAGGAGAGCAGAGCCTGAAGGCCAGCGTTGGTTCATGTAACGTTGAGATCCAGTTCTCTCCTCGTCAGCACATACCTCCCTTCTCTGCTGAGCTGCAGGCGGAGGTAGCAGGCCTGCTGCTCCCCCTGCTGACCATCCAAGGCTGCTGCCAGGTAGGCTGTCAAACACATATGACATCATTTTACAAAGCTGGTGAAAGTGATGCTCTTCCTTGACGTAATTATGTGCACTAACAAGACCATCATTATATTTTTACTTTATGGTTACTCCTTTGACGTTCGTCCTTTAAAGGAAACATAGCGAGTATCATGGCGAAACTTCAAAGTACTTGTTATGAAGAACTTGCTATCCTTAGAACATTCTGTCCTCATTTAATTCATGATTTCTAATTATTTATTGGCAGCTGTATATGAACAATTGTTTTCTTCTTTTGCCTATGATTTTTTTCATGTATGTCTTTGTTTTTAATTTAATTGTTGTCTTCTCATTAATTTGTTTTTTTGTATCACTTTGTGTTCATTGTTTGTTGTGTGTTTGATTATCTACATTTACATGTTTCCTTTTGTTATTGTTTGTTGTTCTATATTACTTGAGGGGATGTTTAAACCTGTGGCTCCTCACCTGACACATTTCTTATTATATCTGGATTTCATGCAGTCTAATGTTTGTTTGCAAATACATAAAACAAAACTATATTCATATTATCTTCACACACATTTGGCAGAAAACTGTATGTACATTGAGAAGAATGACACTAAGTTTATCTTTACAGAAACGTAATTATACAATTATTCGAAGGTCTTTTGAATATGTTTATGCATGAATTAGGCTAGACTCAGGTTAACCACTGGTTCTGATTTGACCTGTCAGGTAGTGGAGGTCCAGTTGGACCAGGACCACCTGGCCTTCGGAGCTGTTGTGCAGCGCTGCCAGGCCAAGAAGAGGATTCACATGATGAACACTGGGGACATTGGTGCCAAGTAAGATTAGATATATATATCAACTCGTTAGTTTAGTTGTTTAGAGGTTTAGATTGTTGTGTGCTGTTTTGAAAAAGATTAAGAAGACTGATGTATCCTCATTCTTATCTTTAACGGTATAATAACATCAGTTTTGTAGTAGTTCACTTTAGTTAACGTATTGGTTTTACATCTTATTATTTCATTTTGTTTCATCTTGTTACCAGGTTCCAGTGGAAAACAGAGACTTTTCCTCCAGAGTTGTCCATCTCACCAGCTAAAGGCTACATCTGTCCAGGCATGGAGGTTCCTTTCTCAGTGACCTTTGCCCCAGTGGAAGTGAATAATGATATAAGACATGAGAACCTGTGCTGCTGGGTGGAGGGGTCCTCCTCACCCGTCAGATTCACTGTAGCCGGCTCCTGCATCGTAGCCTCCACCAGCAAAGAGGTTTGTTGGCTGCACTTTTATACCGATTAATTACGAAGCTAAAAACACATTTACATTATGATCATGGCATGTACTCATTTAGGGGAGATAACACTCAATATAATAATAATCTTTATTAGTATAGCACCTTTCATACAACAAGTGCAGTCCAAAGTGCTTCACATAGATATTTCACAGAAAATGTATATCACACCGAATACAGATACCAGTAAAAAGCATAAAAACAAACAAAAGATTGCATAGAGTAGACATATATAAAAATACAATTAGATTAAAGGTAAAACAATGAAATTGTGCATTAAAAGGAGAATAGTACAAATTCAACACACAGTCATTGTGCATTGAGAAAGTGCAGCTGAGTGCTTCCTAAAAGGCTAAATTATACAAATGTGTTTTGAGTTTTTGTTTAACTCAAACCGAGCTGGCTTCCCTGATGTCTACAGGTATTTGGTTCCACAGCTTTGGGGCATAGTTAATGAAAGCTGCGTCACCAAACTTCTTTTACCGCTGTTTTTTGGAATTTGTAAAAAAAAGCAGCAGAGGATCGCAGAGTTCCTGATGGTTTGTAGCCTACAAGGGAGTTAACAATGTAACTTGGACCTTCCCCTCTAAAGGCTTTATATGTCAGGAGGAGGACCTTAAAATCAATCCTAAAAGAAACAGGAAGCCAGTGCAGAGCGGCTAGAACTGGAGTAATGTGTTCTCTCCTCTTCATTCTGGTTAATAACCGAGCTGCTGAGTTTTCAACACTTACTATATGTATTTTATTTTATTTGACAATTGATAGAAAATAAACAATGGCTTGTATGCTTTACAAAGCATTTACAGAGCATATGCAAACTGTTACATTTCTCATCTCAACCAACACGTTTCCCTATAAAACACTACCAGTTAAAGTAACTAAAATCTTACATAAGGGGTTGAAATAATATCACATTACTGTTACTTTTTTCCACTAACTGTTTTGTGAAAAAGTTTCTATTAAGTACAAATACATATTCTTCATTTATCAGACATAATTATAACCACATCTGATTGATGTAGCACATATTACAGTGCAATTTATCTGAGAGGTTTTCACATTTAAGATTTGTAGGGTTCTTTAGTAGGTAGAAAAGTGCCTTCCTCAATGAAGCTTCCCATTGAGGGGATATGAAAGATGCTGATTCGACTCCTCTTTTGGAAAAGAGAGTCGTGTCATTCTTAAATGTCACTGAACATTTGGAAACACTTTAAATTGGTTTCAATTAGCTGACAAGTCACTAATACCTGTGAATAAGTGGTGAAGAAGTGTGTTCTATTGTTTTTAGAGTAAGTTGACTCATATTGTAGTACTTTTAGTTTTAGCATTCAGTAACTGGTATTACCTCTAATTGAACTGCCTTTGTTTTGCCTATTGCATACATCTCCTACTTCTGACTGCTTGTCTCCAGGTGCTCCACTTTGTCTGCCTAGTGCGCGGCTCTCACACCCACACCCTGCCCGTGGCCAACCCCACAAACCAGCAGTGCAGCGTCAGACCTGTCATAGAGGGCCAACAGTGGAGTGCTGCCCCCATGCTGATCCTTAGACCCCACCAAAGCAAGACCTACCAGATCACCTACCGACCTCTGTCTATGACTGCTGATGGGAAGAAGCACCAGGTAGGCTAACATTCAAACTAGTGGTTTCAATCGATTAAAAAATGTAATCGCGTTAACAACATAATGACCTGTTTTATGCACACTCGGTGAAGCTATGGTGTAAGCAATAAAGTGTGACACCCATCTTGTTATTTCCTCAGGGATCTGTCTTCTTCTCCTTCCCTGATGGGACGGGTCTGCTGTACTCCCTGCAAGGAACTGCTGAACCTCCCAAGGCAGAGGACTCCATTGTACACGAGCTGCCAGCCAAGACTCACCACACAGAGGTGCTCCCTGTGCACAACTGGCTCTCCAAGCAACAGAGGTAAAATCACACACAGATGGTTTGTTGCACACAACCATCTGAGAAGCTGTCATTGGAAACTATTTTTAAAAAGGGCCTCGCATTCAAAAATACTTGGCATGTGATTTGATGAACCATCCGTCTGTGATGTCTATGTCTAAGTGCTAACTGCAATCAATCAGATCAACGGTGAAACTGACTTTAGGAGCTCCACACTGGACACTCATTGGTCCGGTCACTGGTTGTTCTTTATTGACACAGTGCAATGTAGCCTCTGCATTTAACCCATCCTAGTATTACGACGAGTCCGCACTCCATACATGGTTCGATTGGGACCCAAGCCAAGTCTCCACAAAATGAACTATATGACAGTATAGAATCTCATGTGATCTTGTGATAATGCAGGATGAATCCCGTTGCCTTGCAGTAGAAATGTTACCCCCTCAATTTTGCAAAACCTCTTGCTACTTATCAAAAAAGATAACCTAAATGCAATGCTATGAACTGTAATGGGGGGGAAATACACAAAGCCTGTTGGGTGTGTACAATAAAGTCATGAGTGTTTCTGTGTCGCAGACTGAAAACCCAACTAGACCATGGCCGTTAACAAAACTAAAAATGCTTTGGCTTAATTGAAGCAAATGCAGTAGCAGTGGTTAGGCTTACAGGAAGCTAATGGTAAATGGACTGTACTTATATAGCGCTTTATCCAGTCTTTACGACCCCTCAAAGCGCTTTACATACTACATGTCATTCACCCATATTCATACAGAGCAGTATCACTTGCTCTAGGACCTAACATTCACACAGAGCAGTATCACTTGCTCTAGGACCTAACATTCACACAGAGCAGTATCACTTGCTCTAGGAGCTAACATTCACACCCATTCATACAGAGCAGTACCACTTGCTCTAGGACCTAACATTCACACACATTCACCATGCCATCGGGAGCAAGTTAGGGTTAAGTATCTTGCCCAAGGATACATCGACATGTTGACTGCACGGGCTGGGATCGAACCCACAACCTTCTGGTTGAAAGACGACTGCACTCCCTCGCAGCCACAGTCGCAGTAATTTATTTAAAGGATTATTTATCTTTGAATTTGTATCTTCATGGTTAAATGAAATGATTGTAAGTAGCTTTGGATAAAAGCCTCAACTAAATGCAATGTTCCCTGGCTTCAGGTTCCGTGTGCTGATAGAGACCCTGAAACCTGACAAGCCAGATGCTACAGTGTCCCTCAAGGGTCAAAAAGACATTGTCGTCCCTGCTCTGGCCACTCGGGACTACTCGTTGTCTTTCTTTACATACAAAGAGGGGCAGTACAACACCAAGGTTTGTCCACACGCACATTTCTATCACCAGATCAGAAAACATTTTGAGCCTTGTCCTCACATCACCCTTTTCCATCTCTTATCAGGTGACGTTTCATGATGAGGTGTCCGGTGAGTACTTGTTCTATCTCGTGACCTTTAAGGCCACACCTCCAGGAGTCCTGTCCACCATGGAGCTGGTGACCACTGTGCGTCAGACGGCCTCAGCCACTGTGCAGGTGGAGAATCCTCTGACCACAGTCACCTGCCTCACTACGGAGTGTAAATGCCCTGACATCAGTGCCCCGGCTCAGCACACTGTGCCAGGACAGTCCAAGGTGGGTACTGACTGCTTCTACCTGCCTCACACTAATTGACTGGATTTAAATGAAAATGTAAATTAAAAGCTACTTCGCACACTTTTGTAATGTATATAGTATCCTATATTCATGTTTTTGTTGTTGATTAGTCCATAGATTGGTCCATTATATTGGAGTATTCAAATGTATTTTTTGTTTACCATTGTTTGTATATATTAACGGTTTGTTTAATTAATTGATATTAATTAATTTAATTGTTTTTTTAATTACATTTGTATTACATTATATTAGATTTGTAGCTAATCTGTTAACATTCTGCTGTGATAAAGAAAAACAAAATTAGATTTAAAAAAATCTATTTGATTCTGAACTATTTCAGTGCTGAAAAGGCAGCTTTGTGCTAAAACAAAAGCTTAATTGATGCTTAATTTATTTTGTATTTATTAGCTTATATTACAGGCACAGTGCACATCAATACACATTGATGTGAATACGACAGACTTAGCCAAGAAGCTTTTTTTCATCTGTAGACCCGAGAACGACTTTTCAAAGTCACCCTAAAAAACTCATTTGTTTTAAAACATTTAAAAAATGAAAAACATGCAACACAGAGGCTCCAAATACGGGACATGCTAATAAAAACAAAAATCATACATTGCTACACAGCAACAAGATAGCAACAAGTTACAGCAGTAGAGACAGAAGACAGTATAGTGCTATTTAACCATATCTTTAAATTAGTTCAAATCAAACTGTATGTAGCTTTTTCTATAATGGCAGTTGGGATGGACTTCCAATTTAGTGCAGCTTTAGCAGAGACTGCTGATTGACTTAAATACATTTTTGTGAGGGACGATGCAATCCCCTCTTGCGACACCTCTTGTTAACCTATAAGCAGTTGTTCTTATGATACTCTGCATGTGCGTGTGCTCTCTACAGGGCTCTGTGAGCTTTGAGTATCTGCCCCTGCGTGTAGGCGAGTCTACAGCGCGCCTCACTCTCCACAGCAGCGATCTGGGCTCCTTCCACTACGACCTGCTGCTCAGAGCTCTGCCTCCACCTCCAGAGAAGACCGTCCACTTCAGCACCTGTCTAGGCAGTAGCCAGGCCGTTCTTGTGAAGTTCATTAACTACTCACGCTTCAAACCCGAGTACTCATGCAAGGTGAGAAAATATCCAGCTTGTCCTTATGACTTGGAGAAGTACCGTAGGTGCACATTATGTTCTTATGATGTTCTGTCTGTTCTCGCCATTTCTTTCTTGTTTTGCTCTTAATAGAAATGGACCCTGGATAGTGTCTTTCAAAGGGATCACTTCACCAATTGTTCACATACACATCGAGAGGACTACTACTCAGGCTCTGACAACAGTTTTATAACTTGTTGAATTCATTCATTTTAACAGTGATTAGCTGAAATCTGAGTTTGCCTGATGCAAAGTTGAGTTGGAGCAAGATTGGCACAACTTTTTAAAGATGAATAAAATAGACGTACATATAAAGAGTAAAATATATATATCTTTAGAGCATCTCTATTGGATACCTATATACACATACATGTATACACAAATACATGAGTATGCACTTTAACAGACCAACCTCCTACTAACAAAATGTGAACATAGGATACTTTTTACAATATACGAGTATGCAAAGTAATTGCAGTTTTTAAATTAAATGAACATGAAATGCAAGAAGGTACATTAGGAGAACAATATATACAAATGAATGAATTGGTATTGTAAAAACATGGTTGAGCATAGATTTATAAAAATAACGTGTAATTAAGAAATCATCATTGATTAATTTGCTGTCATATGATCCCTTTCTTGTTATCTCCTGCAGGCCGATTGCCCGGACTTCACAGTGGACAAGGTGAGACCCCAGGTGGGGTCCGAGTCAGGCATGGAGGTTTGTTTTGAACCTCATCAGCTGGGGCAAGTGACCGGCCAGCTCACCCTGTCCTCAGGAATCGGGGGAGAATACATCTTTCCGCTGCACGGGATCAGTCTCCCTCCCAAAGCCCAGGGTCCCTTCAGCATCAGGGCCGGTCGCAGCGTTACCATCCCCTTCAAGAATGTGTTCCTGCACACCAGCGATTTCTCTTTTCAGGTAAAGAAGGGATGAGCTCAGGGCCAGGGCATTGGTGTCACTGACAATGAAAGTGCTTCAGAAACAGAAATACTTCATTTATCCCGGGTGAAATTGGGTTTCATGAGAGAAGTTCCAATAAAATAAAAATATAAGAATGTGCATAACCAAGATAAAAATGTATGCACATAAGAATGTAAAGTAAAAATGTCCAACAAAAGAAAAAAGAAAATATAAATATAGATATAGAAAATAAGTGCATTCATGGCGTTCCAATATGCTGTATTGTGCGAGAGAAGTGGTAAAAGAGGTGTGTGGCGCAGTGGACTAGTGTGTTGGTGTTCGGATCAGGGGAGCACAGGTTCAAACCCCACTGCAGTCAGCATGTCGTTGTGTCCCTGCGACACTTCACCCCAAATTGCTCCTGTGGGGATTGCCCACAGTATTGAGTATGTAAGTCGCTTTGGATAAAAGCGTCTAACAAGTGACGTGTCATGTAAAAAAAGTACTCAGACTTTTTGCCTTTTTGTTTTACTTTGTTTTTGTTGTAAAAGTTGCAATACTAAATGTAAACATGCTCTGTTATAAGGTGAACTCCTGAATTCAAAATATTACTTAGGTATTAGGTAAGTATTGGCATTCAAATAAAGCTGTCAGATAAATGTAGTGGAGTAAAAGTATAAAGTAGCATAAAAGGAAAATGCTTAAGTCAAGTTCAAGTAAAACAAATTGCGTACTTATGGACATTACTTCAGTATAAGTAGTTTGTTACATTCCATCACCTTCAGTAAGCCAAATCATTTGTTGACATCAATGAAAATGATTTTCAGTTCTGGGTGCAATGCTACACAGCATGAAGCAAATACTTTAAATGTAGCCTGGAACAGTTACAGTTAAGAGGGTGTCTCAGTCGGGCAAGCTTCATTTGTTTAGCACTTTTCATATACAGGGTGCAGCTCAAAGTGCTATAACAAGACGACACACAACAACATGTACAAATGCAGCATATGTACAGGATATATAGTATTATCAAAGGATAAAAACAAGGAGGTAAAATAGGCATGATAATACAAAACAATAAAAAAGTTAACAACAGATCACACAACCAGCTTAGTAAAAGTAAGAAAGACATAAGACAACATAAATAAATACAAAAAGAACAATAATGAGACGAATAAAAAAAATGTAAATACAATTTAAAGGGAGATGTCTCTAATTAAGTCTAAACTTAATAAAAAATGTGTTGCTAATGGAGCCTTATTTCCCATGTTCCTAGGTGGACAACCCCTGTTTTACTGTCAAAGACATAGACACCGTCCCCTCCAAAAAGACCCAAAACATCGTGGTGTCTTTTGAGTCCCCTGCAGCAGGCTTTCCGGGACCGTGGTTTGGCAATCTGACCGTCTCCAGCCAGCGCTCTGAGGCCCACAGGAAACCTTGTTCTTGGATCTTTTACCTGAAGGGCTACCGGCCTGAGTCCTCTTAGAGAGATATGTACACACACACTTACTGTACGCATATGCATTTGGCTGTGCAGACACACACTGATGCCAAAGGAAAGGCACAGGAAACATTTTAGGCATTAGCTGTTACTTGGTTTTCATGATGCTTCAGTTAAATGTGTTTACAAGTTATTTATACGTTGCCCTAACATTAATGTCAATGTTAAAAAAAAATGGCTGTGTATGTTAATGTCATTATTATATTTGCTCATTATCTAAATACAACTTGCAGTAACAAAAAACGTCCACACGAGGGCAGTCATGTCAAGTAGGTTTTCACATATGAGCGCTTCAGTGATTGGGGAAGATATGTAAAAAAAATGTGTTCCTTTTTGTCATCTTTACATCCTGCATGTTAAAGTGTCAATCTTTCACCTTCAGTTATATTCTCCATAGCACTCTGTTTGCTGTTAAGACACACAGTGCATTGCAGGCAAGACCATGCTACTCATCTGAAAGGGCAGAGCTAGAGGAGACGCTCATTACCAAAGGTTAGATTTGTCACATCACACACATTTAAACCTCTAACGAGGAGCTTTACTGACAGTTCAAGAGACACACCTCTTACACCAAAAGGAAAGTCCTCTGATCCTCCCATCAGGACAAAGTGAGCCACACTTCCTGCTGTGACTGTTAAACGGAAGAGGGGAAATACAGCATTTGCTTTGTTCATATTTGGGGGAAAAAGCACAACGTTTTTTGCATATCCTTCTGCCTTCTTTTGGAGACTCGATTCCAGATGTTGATGTTACTATTCATGACACACAATTTTGAAATTGGAAAATCCACTATCAAATCGTATTTTCTTTCATTTTTAAAAGGACAAAGAGTTTAATCACTCATAGGCTAACAATGTATCCTATAGGAACATGCAGGTTTGGGAAGTAACACAATACATTGAATCTGATTGCTTATCTGATACAAAAGAAACGTAACTGTATTCCCTTTTATGCTTTGTAGGCTTTTCACTTTGTTAATGGGTGTTGTGCATGTAAATGGTCTGCAAGGCTAAAATCCCAGTTCTCTCCAGAGGGAATAACATTCGTGTTTCTATTGGCTAGAGCTCCAACCCATTGTACGTGATAAGCTAAGGAGCAGGACATCACTAAGCGGTTGACCAATCACAACAGAGCCGGCCAGCTAACCAATCAGAGCAGACTGGGCTCTGGTTTCAGACAGAGGGTGAAAAGAGGTGCTGCAGCACAGGCAGTATGAAAAAAATAAAGAGCTTTTTGAACATTAAAGCATGGAGACATGTCACAGTAGAAGCACAACAAACTAATGAACCTGAAAATGAGCATTATAGCACATGATTTGTTAAAAAATAGTTTATTTTATTTCAATTATTTAACTACGACAGCATGTGTATGATATCCTATAATATAATCTGGAACTCAGGTCATGCCTGTATTTTACTGTGGTTTTGAAAGGAAGCCTACTGTTTCAAATGTTAAAAAGAGCATATTGTGTTAAAATGAGGACACAGGGAACACATTTTTGATACAAAATACCTTGGTTTCTTTTTTTACAAGGTTGGATTATTGTATTGTCCTAGGAAATACACCCTTAAGTAAAATACATCTTTAATAAATATTTTCTTTGTATTTCTGTTGCATTGCATTTGATTTTGAGGTCATTCAAACGTAATCAGGTTATATTACTTTTAAACTGTCATGCTATACTGATTTCTTTTCTTTTTTTATCAATTGTGACTTAATACAATTTGCACCCTCCAAACCCAGAATATGACATAGCTTAGTCTTACTACAGCACAATGAAGCAAAGCAAAACACACACAACAATGGCGTAAACTTTTTAAATCTTACGATTATCACTCGAATATATTAAGGATGTTCCTTTAGATAGCCGATATTGGGGGTCTGGTGGGTGTGCTTTGGGGTGGGTGCTGTGATGTAATAGGGGATGTGGGGGGTGGGGGCTTCTCTCTCCCCCATAGAGCGCAGCATGAGCGCTCCGCAGCAAAAGGATGTGTGAGCAGGCAGCGCGCTACTGTAGGGACGGAGTCCACAAACTGCTCAACAAAGAACAAGCCAAACTTCGAGCCGAGAGCCAGGAAAGCCGCGAGCAGCCGAACCCCGTAGCCGGTCAGGACAGCGAGTCCGCCACGGCAGCACAGTCCGGAAACAGCGGAGCCCAGCCCGGTGGAATCGACGGGCTCGTCCGCTGGATCGTAACCAAAATGAGTGACAACAAGAACATCTCCAGCCGGGAGTTCGCTTCCAGCAAGGAGGATGTGGCCGTGGCTCAGGAGCAGTTCTTCGCCCCGGAACCGCGGAGAGGCATCTCCGTTATTTTGGATGTGAGTATGGGGAGCCGAGAGGCAGTGGTCAGCCGGACAGGGTGGGCGGGTGGGAGGCTGTGGGATGAAAGCATCCAGTGAGCAGTGCGTACGGAGCGGTGCAGTGCGCACTTACGCACAGAAACGAGCTTTAAAAATACCGTTAATGTTTATAGTGTGAGTTCAGCAGGTGATTTGCCTCGTTAATGAACTCGATTGCACGGCACTTGTCCTTCGGGAATCAAGCCTTGATCTCCCGATGACGGACATTGACCGATCAATGTTGAACACTCTTTCCTCTTGGTGCCCCGTCAAAAAGTGTACTGTAAATGTGTTTGTCCACCAATACTCCCATATTTGTGGCTTTATCTGTGCACTTTTTCTCCACATCATTACACAAGTCATCATAAAATGAACTCAGTGCAGTACAGCGTTGCTTTTAATGATGGACAGTTCAAAGAAAGTCCGACGCGCACACATTCGGCACACCCAGAGTGAAAGCAGCATCAGTAAACCGGATTCCCTGTTAGGCTGCTTCAGGCAAGTTCATCACAACACTTTCAATATTAATGAAAATGCCTCAGTACCAAAAAATGTATTGATCAAGTTGTTACAGAATTCTGATGTAATATATCATTTTATGCAGAGCCCAGGGGCATAAACCCGTAACAAGATGCAGCATTATCTGTACAGGAAGTGGCAATTACGCATCAATTAATTCAATTTAGGTCAGCTCATCAACACTGTTGGGGTTATTTTTCATCACTTAATATTTCCCCTGGAGACCAGCTGCTTTTAATACTTTAATGGCGTTGAAAATAAAAAAGAGATCAGGTTCTGCAAACCTTGACCACGACCCAAATAAAGAAGGGTTACATGGGATTGGAAAGCAATTATGATCAAGACCAGAGGGCAAATGTACCCTAGTACCCTAGTAAACAGATACGTTTTGTTTCACAGTCTGGGTGTGTAGAGGGGTTGAAGGGGGGGGGGGTATTCTCGTCTGCTCCTGATACTCCCTCCCTGAACGGGAAGCAGTCCTCTCCTGCAGCACAGCAGGGGTCAGGATCCAGAAATGGTTCTGTGACCTGTTTCTAATACGTGGCCCAGAAGCAGCTGGTCGGTCGACAGATGGTGTATTTCTGGGTTGAAAATGTTTAGAAAATGTAGAATATCTACGCGCATGCTCAACATTTTCATCACTTCAGGCACAGTTATCGGAATCAGATTTATTGGCACATACAAGGAATTTGCTATAATATATAATGGTGCATACATAAACACAGTAAGAGGGATATAGGTTGTAAAGGAGCTAATATAGAATTATTAAAATATATATTTTGGAAAAAAACTATTACAACCTTGATGAGAAGACATGTTTAAAAGACGTGTAAATAGGCAAAACAAATGAGAAAATATGCAGAATGTGACCTATTTTAAAGTGTTTGATCCAAATGTGTTGGAATAGATTGTATAGGGATATTTGGCTTTATCACACAGTTCTTATGTTAACATCCCACTTAGTTCTATTTTTGTGTTTGTATTTAATGGGATTGTTTCAGTTTGTGTTGTATTTTACGTGATTTCCCAGCATGACAGTTATCTGCGCGCCATGCCTTCTGACATCAGCAGTGAACTCTTTATGGCATTTTTTTTCTCTCCACCTAACTTTCTGCGATAGCTAAAGCTTTGAAATGTTAATCGATTTTGCCATGTTTTCGACATTATTGACCCCAGCATTATTATCATGGTGAACAAGTCAACACCAAAGGGATTTAGTGATCTCGCAGATGCGTTTGTGTACCCGCAGGTTCGGCTCATTAGGACTTCCTGCTTACTTGTTTCTCATCCTTTGCTGTTTTCTCGTCTTCTCCTTCATCTTAATCTTATATTCTGTTAACTCCTTTCATCCTTTGGTCCTCTCCCCTCCCTCCTTCTCTGCTTTCCTCCATAACCTTCCCACTCTTCCTCCTCTCCTCTCTCCCCAGCAAGGCAAGAACACATCCATTCTTAATAAGGTTAAGAGATGGAACAGTCTCCCTCCCTCTGTGTCTGCTGTACAGTTTCTATTCCGTTCAATCTTTTTCTGTTTATCTCTTCTGGCTGTCTTTCTTTTTCTTCTCACGATGTGTTTCTCGAAACTCTCTGGCGAACGAACACACACACACCCTACACACACACACAACACACACACACAAACACACACACACACACACCACACACACACACACCACACACACACACACCACAACACACACACACACACCACACACACACACACACCACACACACACACACACACACACACACACACACACACCACACACACACACCACACACACACACACTGCCTTCTAACGCAAACATGTTCCCTCCTCTCAAAGCCTGCCTGTCCTCCAGCAGCTTCCGAGTTGGCAGATTTTCTTGAATTGCGGCCGCAGGAGAGAGAGAACAATGCAGAAGAGCTTGTCATTTTAAACGTTCTGCGTCGCAGGAGTTAATGATTTTCACCTTTGGCCTTTCCAGATGCCTGCAGTCACCTGCCTGAGTGAACCAATACTTTTACAGGCAATAAACTACTAGAGTAAAGGGAAGCGACAATTGTTGAACTGTGCATTGCTAATTAAATCAAAGTGAGTTCTTTCGATGTTACCTTAATTGTAAGTCAATCTTTTTTTCATTATGAAATCTAGGTAATCAAACTAATAATTTATTTAATTATCTAATATGTAAACTGTTTACTTGATGAATAATATTATAAACACAAATGTGCCCTGAAACACATGCTAAGAAGAACGTCTTCATATCTGACAACCAATGTGCTGAATCAAAAAACATTCACCACTTGATGAAAAATGCTTAACATTGACTAAAAGCGCTGCATGAAGAAACGCTGTGTAAAATAAGAACCCGCTGCAAGAAGCTTCAAAACACCATTCATTCATTTAAACAAGTAAAGCCATTGTTATGGTCCATTTTTACAGTATATGAACGTTTCATAGGTTTTTCAATGATGTTCTTCAGTCGAACCTATGTACACGCCACATCCTGTCAGGGTAAAGTTAATGTTTAAATAAATACCCTGAACAAAATGGGGCCACCTGCAGTAAGTTGGAAACATTTCTAATAAAGTTGTCATTTTTGTTCTTTCACAAGAATAATTAAAGCTACAATGGCCCCAGGTTGTTTTCCAGAAAAACAAGTTCCAAAGGAAAACACCCACTTCAACGTGTTCCGATTTTTTAAAAGTAATTTTGTGAAAATACGGCTATAAACCACTCTGCTTACATTGGTTAGCTCACAACAACATGATGATGCTTGAAATGAAAAGTAAGAATACACACAGAGTAAGAGCAGAGCGTCTCACTCTCTTTCTTCCTGTCTTTTCATTTAATCTTAAGCTTCCCCCTCACGTGTCTTCCACCCTCTACTCTGTCATTGTTGCGGTCTCCTGGCAGTTGTCAGTAGGAACAGTTTACATCACACTCTGATGAAAGGAGCAGACCTGCCACTTTCAATCCCATAGGGAAAGAGGACTTTCACAGAAAGCTATAAATAAGCCCCAGAACCTTGTATGTTCGCTGCATAGAACGTTGTTACACTGCAAGCAATCGTCAATCAGTTGAAGATCAGCGACTTTGTGTGTGTTCATAAACATTGTGAGCTTTTTATCCCCTGCTCTTTCAGTCTTTGGCTTTGTATTATCACACTCCATTGCACGTTATCTACAGATAGATACACTTTGTGGGCTTTATTATCATGTGGACTGCCCCAAGTTAACAAATTGAATGGAAGACGGAACATCTCCTTTGCAGTAATTCACCCACTGGGGTCTTTTTTGCGGGGGATAATTGTCGTTCGGTTTATACTAAAAAAAAACATTACGTGTGTTAACCATCTGTCACTTCAGCTGAAATGTGACTTAATGTCATGTTCTGCTCCACTGAACAGATCAATTTACAGGGCACATTTATGGGGAAAAAGGACAATGCATCAGCTTCACTCTACAAATACCAGCATGTTCGATTGCTGCTAATGGCATCTGAAGGGGCTTTTTATTCTTACATCTCTTGTATAACTTCAAGCCAAAGCCTTACACTGATGTTTAGTTTAATGTCTTTTTCTGGAGAAAAATATAAAAGATTTCCTCACCAAAAGACTAAGGGAATAGTTTGGTTTCATGAAGAAAGGATATACTTGCACCCAAACTTTTTCATGTGTTGCTTAGTAAAACATATTGATTGATTGATTTTAAAGGATGGAAAAAAAGAACTGAATATGCTTCTGTCCTTAACAATTGAAGAA